CAGAGACCCTTCTATCAAATGAAGAAAGTGCTTTCTACAAAATGGTTCAGAGTACTGGTGCTGCCAATGCCCAGTATTTACGGGTATAAGCACATGCCCTGTTCTTTTTCTCTCCTTTATTTTCTTGTCTAATAGTGTTTGTAAATAATATATTCTCATATGTTATCACTTTAATCCAGACATTTGGTCTTTCCTTTTTTGTGTTCATGTTTCATGAGATGCAAATTTTAGAAGTATCTTAGTAGACTACTGAGTACTGACTGCATTTTTTAACCCTAAACCTCCAAAGAACTTTATTAGGCTTGTATGACAAGGTTTGGTACTGGTCCATATTGATCTTGGCAATTGATGCATACCGGCCCTACAGGATATCATTATGTTCGTGCACCAACATTACTGATAAAAATCATTGCAAACAATTTTTTAAATATTCTTTCAGCTGTGTACTGTATTATTCCACGAGGATTATGGCATAGATATCAGGTACTAGCATGGTTCATCTTATCGATCTGTACCAATATACCGTCCAGTTGTCAGTACGGTATGTTCCGAGCTATACTAAGTATATCGACACAGTACATGGGGGCATGCCAATGTACGGCTTGTATCGGTCCCTTATCGGACTGGTATGTATTGCCCGTACCGAGCAGTATACTGCGAAATGGTGAACCTTAGGTACTACCGTACTAGTACTTGATTACTTGTTTATATAAATTTGTTTTCTATTATGATTTTGTCACTCTTTAGTATCTTAATTAATCCATTTTAACCACAGATCTTTGGAGGAAGGATAAATTTTAATGCTTTATAATTAAACTTGACATAGTATTGAAATCTCAGGTTGTATATTGTAAATTTAGCTTTATTACCAAAACAATAAATACTCACTTAGGAACACCCTCTATTAAGATCTAAATTTGTTCTGCAACTCCAATTACATTAGAATCATGGCTTGTCGAGGAAATTGTTTGTTCCAATTTTCGGTTGAAGCATCTACGTTGAACAACAAAGGTGACATGAATCTGATTACCACGAATTTAAAATTTTTGACTTGGACTACTTACCTAACTAAACATCTGAAACATATGCCAGTGTCATATTGAAGAACTTCAAAGTTTGTTCATGATCAGCTTTTGCATTTATGATCTAAATCACACACAACAAAAACTGCTGTGCAAGAATTAGAGTTGGGCTAAAATTGTCGCATAGAACTTTAAAGTTTATGACCAACCCAAAATTTATAGACAAAGCGGAAATAATTCCATTCATGGAACAGTCAGGATTAGCTCCTGATTCTGAGTTCTGAATATGAATGTTGGCTGTTTGTCGAGATTATACTTACCACAGACATTCTGAGATTGTAATGATATTTCTGGATTCATTTGCAGGACTATAATATGCAAAAACATCTTCTCTAATTAATCTGAAAAGGCTATATATGTATTGACTTCCTGATCTGGATTAAGTTTGTCTTGGTTTATCTTTCCTCTTTGAACAACATAATTAATAAAGATTTAGTAAGAAATGATATGACAATCTTGCTTTTCGAGACTTCTTTGTCAACATCCTCATCTCTTCCAGGTTTGCTATTATTTTTACTTGTTGATAGGATATTAAGCAAATTGCTAATTCACCAGTTCAATCAGTTAAAATCAAAATGTGATATTCATCATCCTGTTGTAAACAGTTATAGACTTGAGTATGCACGATTATCAAATATTCTCTTTTTTTTTTAGACCACAAGTCAAAATGGGTATCCTGGTAAATGCAGTGTGAAATCAGTTAACCACTTTGAGGGCTCTTCCTGCTCAGTGCTATCAGATGGTGTTTTGATGGTACAGATCCAAACTCATAATGTCAAACACGAATGGAGATTTAATGAAAATAGTCAAGTAAACTATACAAAGACCATGTTAGCAGAAATAGGTCTAATCAGTGTAACTCCTCAATGTTGAGAAGGTAACTCATTGTATCTTATGGGAATGGATCCCGTGAAGGCCTGTAATATCTTATCATGCAGGTCCTAAGTGACACTCTTTTTTCCTATTCTTCGGGGGACGGAGTTAAATAAGTTTCAACAATCAATTCAACTGAATAAAAACTAAGGTGAGATGAAGTCAACGCTTTGTTCCTAATTGCACCAGCATTTGAAAATTGTTACTAGTAATTGTTGTTATCTTGTGAACCTTTTGGCATTATTGAGTATTTAGGTCTTCTGGGCTACATTTATGTTGCTTATCTGCCTCTTTTTTAGAATTTTAATTCTGCACTTTTGGTCTTTGGGGGAGAAAACCACAGGGTCTGGTCTTTGGAGCGGGGGAGAACGGGTCCAGAAGGGAGGAGATCAAGAGACAAGAAGGTGAACGGAGATGGCTGGCGTCTTCACGCTGGGTAGCTGCTGCCCAATTTGCACTTGCGGTCAGCCTGACATCCTCACAGAATGACCTCCATCAGCTGGAGATTGATGATGAAAACAACATCCTTAATAGAACAAAGGATGCCGTGATCACATTGCAGAGCATTTTGGAAGGGAAGCATGACACTGAAATCGAAGAAAAGCTTGAACAGCACAATGTCCCTAGCAGTAGATGGTGGTCATCACTCTATAAAGTGGTTGAAGGTAAATTTTTGGCACATGCTTTACTCGTAAAATGTCTGCTTGAACAGAGATTGCTATGGTCTGTAGTGTTGATTTTACTTTTAAAGTGCTAAAGTTCATTGCATGATGAAAACACATTTGTTAATTGCATGAGTTTCAGCACTGCACTCGGCTAGTTAGGAGTTTTGTCAGGTATGTGTAGGACTCGACAAGAGGACTACAGGAGCCACCTGGCAACAGTTCAAAAAAATTGGGAACCAAAAATTAAATTTAGGGGTTATATGATTTAAAAAGTGCATGTCTATTCAAGCAAAACATCATCGGTACTCTTTCTTTTGATGGTAGAATGTGACAAGAAAACCATGTATTAGAAGATCGGTGGCTTATATATATTATTTATCACTTTCAGGTCTTGCAATTATGAGTAAACTGGCACGGAACCGTCTCCAGCCTGGTTCTGAATTTGAAGACAATTCAATCGATTGGGACCAAGTGGTGATGTAGCAAATGCAGTCATCTTCCCTTGATGATCGCCGGAGTTTGGGAGGATTCAATGGTGCTTTTAGTGCAGATGCATAACCAAGAATTGCTCCCTCGGTAAGCAGGTGATTTGATTGTTCAAAACACTGATCTGCTTTTGTATGAGGTGTCAAGTAGTCTTCAAGAACAAAGATGTTAGTTAGTGTGCTTCTTTTGACAAAGGGATGAGTTATAAATCAGACAACAACAATATGCATTTACATTAACAACTATAAAAGGCCAATGCAGTTATCCTCCTGCAAATCTGTTTGTGTGTGCTTCCAAAGTATGAAAAATATTGACAGGATAGATTCAGCATCCTTGTTGGCAAATCTTTCATGCATATGTATATGTCAGACACAGGTTTTGTATTCCTCAAATTGTTTTGACTATATGCATATCCCTCTTAAAACCTCAAAAATAACAAATGCATCCTTTGTTGCTGGTGGGTGGGTGAGGTCAACCAAATTTTATTTTATTTTATTTTATGTAAAAGGGAAAAATCATTGAGGCACAGATTCTCCTCCTTCCTAAATGTTTTGATATTTTATTTTGTTTTGATATGCATCCTCTCTCTCTCTCTCTCTCCTGACAATAACCATAGCCATATTTTATTTTGTTTTGATATGACGGATAGAGACGTGGGACCTGTTCGAGTTAGTCTGCTTCATAATTATGAAAAAGAAAAATAAAATCCTTCTTCTTCTTCTTCTTCTTCTTCTTCTTCTTCTTCTTCTTCTTCTTCTTCTTCTACTTCTTCTATTCCTTAACCATCACAGGATTATGCTGTGATTTATTTGCAGAAAAGGAACCTGAACACTTAATTTGCCATTTCTAATTGGGAAATCATCTCGCAGATTAGCGGGATCGGACGGTGCCCGTCCACCGATGCGATCCATGGAATCGGGGAATCTGAAAGATAATCTGAGCGACGCGTGTCGGTACGTGGCGTCGCAATCTGGGCAGTCACCGGCTGTTTCGGTCAAAGGCCGCCCATAAATATCGAGCTGTTGCCTACCCATCAATACCTGCCTTTTGAACTGATGGGTTCCACGTAGGCAGCTTCTACCTCTCCAATCACACGCAGGTAGAAAAGCGGTGCGTGTCGCTGGGGTAGCTGTAAAAATGCTTCGAGCTTTATACTCGGAACCGGGAGCCTTCGCACTCTCTCTCTCTCTCTCTAAAGATATTTACATGTGACTGTTAGAATCTCCGGCACCCTCCCTCCCTCCTCCGGTCATCTCCTTCGTTCCGGCTCTGCATATTCTACAGGTAACAATGCCGACATCCATCTATCTCCTCCTCATACAACTGTGATCGCGTCCTGTCTTTTTCTCTCCGTTCTTCTTCTTCTGTTTGTTATGCATAATTTGATGCGTTCTTGGATTGAATGTTTGATCTAAAACTGTCACAATGCGACATGGAATTCTTTCTTCATGATTAATTTCTACCGTTGTTCTTTGTGGCCTTTGATTATTGCTTAATTGGAACAATCTTAAAGCATGAGAAAGAAAAGAAAATGGATTGAGAAGTTCCTTCTTCTTCGAATCCTACCGATGACGAACTCCCATGATCTGGTAATTGGAATTCAAGAACAAGATCATTAATGGATCTTCGTATGCCTCACAACATGTCTCGTGATGTGTTCCGCTATGACTGCACCCAAACTGAGACCCGCATTGTAGTGTTTGACAGTGCTTGAAGCGAAGACCACATTGGAATGGGGACTATTGCCACTGAAAGCAGAGGAGGAGGAGGAGGAGGAGGAGGAGGAGGAGCGAAACAGAGGAGGGCGGGCTGCTGCTGCACCAAAGATGAGTTCCTCCCCGATGAATCATTCCAGAGCTGGGCCAACTACATGAAGGCTCTGAGAGAGACCGGAATGCGGCTCAAGAATCGGATCGCCGCCCGGTCCATGGACGACACAGAGATCAACGAGGTTCGAGCTAGGAGCGGACACGAGATGAAGCGGAACCTCTCCTGGTGGGATCTCATCTGGTTCGGCATCGGTGCTGTCATCGGCGCCGGCATCTTCGTCCTCACCGGCCAGGAGGCCCGCAACGCCGCGGGCCCTGCGGTGATCCTCTCCTTCGTCGTCTCCGGCGTCTCCTCCATGCTGTCTGTCTTCTGCTACACCGAGTTCGCGGTGGAGATCCCTGTCGCAGGTCCGGGCTGTGTTTGTGTGTCTTGGTCGCTTGTTGCTTGAGCTGACGATTGCGTCCATGCTTGGCTGTCTCAGGTGGCTCCTTCGCCTACCTACGCGTCGAGCTGGGCGACTTCGTGGCCTTCATCGCTGCCGGCAACATCCTCCTCGAGTACGTGGTCAGCTGCGCCGCGGTCGCCCGCTCCTGGACGTCCTACTTCGCCACCCTCCTCAACCACCAACCCGACGACTTCCGCATCCACATCGCCTCGCTCTCCCCCGACTACAGCCGCCTCGACCCCATCGCCGTCGTCGTTATCGTCGCCATCTGCCTCGCCGCTGTCTTCTCTACCAAGGCCACCTCTCGGTTCAACTACGTGTCCTCCATCATCCACCTGGCCATCATCGTCTTCATCATCGCCGCCGGCCTCTCCAGGGCCGACCCCAAGAACCTCTCCGACTTCATGCCCTTCGGCGCTCGTGGGCTCTTCTCGGCCTCCGCCGTGCTCTTCTTCGCCTACGTCGGCTTCGACGCGGTGTCCACTATGGCGGAAGAGACCAAGAACCCCGCCAAGGACATCCCGCTCGGCCTCGTCGGTGCGATGTGCATCACCACCCTCTGCTACTGCCTCCTGGCGTTCACCCTCTGCCTCATGCAGCCGTACTCGCAGATCGACCCCAACGCGCCCTTCTCGGTCGCGTTCGAGGCCGTCGGTATGGACTGGGCCAAGTACATCGTCGCCTTCGGCGCACTCAAAGGCATGACGACCGTCCTGCTGGTGTCGGCCGTCGGCCAAGCTCGGTACCTCACCCACATCGCTCGCACGCACATGGTGCCGCCATGGTTCGCTCAAGTCCACGCCACCACCGGCACCCCCATCAACGCCACCGTCGCCATGCTCGTAGCCACAGCCACCATCGCCCTCTTTACCGAGCTCAGCATCCTCTCCAATCTCCTCTCCATCTCGACGCTCTTCATCTTCATGCTGGTGGCGGTGGCTCTCCTCGTCCGGCGATACTACGTCAACGGCGAAACCTCCGCGACCGAGCGGAACAAACTGATAGTTTGCATCGTGCTCATCCTGGGCTCCTCGGTGGGGGCTGCCGGGTACTGGGCGGCGGGTGTCGACGGGTGGGTGGGGTACGTGGTGGCGATACCCGTATGGTTCCTCTCGACGGGGTTCCTGTGGCTGGGGGTGCCACAGGCGAAGAAGCCGAAGATGTGGGGGGTGCCGATGGTGCCGTGGTTACCGTCGGCGTCCATCGCCATCAATATCTTCCTGCTAGGCTCGATCGACGGGCTGTCGTATATGAGGTTTGGCATCTGGACGGCGCTGCTGCTCGTCTACTATTTCTTTTTGGGGCTGCATGCATCATATGACACCGCCAAGGCTGCCGCTGCCGCTGCCGCTGCCGCCGCCGCCGCCGCTGCCACCGCGGAAGGTGCAAATCGTAGGTAGAAGTCGTCTCAGTGTTACTACCTACTTGTCTTACAAGGTTTAATTGTATGTGTATTTATTTTTGGAGATTTCTATTGCCCTTTCTTTGTTAAGGGTTATTTGCAATCCTTTTACTCCATACAATCATTAAAAAATAATAAAATATAATTTTACTAAGAATAATTCCTCAATTACTAATCATATTTTTATATCTCATAATCCGTCACTACGATACAAAAGCCTAGAATATCATCTTTCCAATTTATAACCTAATATTGTTATTTATAAAAATATTAAATCAATCGAACAAACTTAAAATATAATTTTGATTATGGATCACTTAAATTTTATGGTTTACTCGTATCTAAAATAACTCTTACATTTAAAAAAATATAGCATGCAAGTCTCTCTCGTTAAGTCACGTGCTATGTTGACTCATAATAAACTATTAATATAATGACACATATAATTTAAATTTTAAAAAATTTATTTTAATATTATAATTTTGGTCATGGATCATATAAGCCCTTATGGTTTTGTTTATGTCTAAAATAATCCTTACATTTTAAAAAGCATGGTATATAAACTCCTCATGTCCAGTTTGAGTTAAAAGATGTTAGAATTTATTTACATAGTATATTGACTCATAATAAAATATTAATATAATAATATATATAATTTAAATTAAAAAAAATTAAAATGACCACAAGTAGCAACACTAATCATTGCTGCCTAGTAAGGCATCATACGCATGCATTCTCTCTCACGCTGACGACAAGTTTAGGAGCTTATGATCTTATCTCGGGATGTGTGACGATTAGTCCAACGTTAGGCATACAATGATCTCTTGATCTCTCTTCCTTCTCTTGGGTTTCCTCATCTCCACCACCTCCCATTTCATCCTCTCTTACGCCCCCACCTATCGCGTTTATGATATGGTGGTCTAGCTCTCTCTCACTTTCGCCTCCGATCTCTTCTATCTTTGCCAATCCGCCTTCGTCCACCGCTACGGCCTTTACCGTTTCCTCTTTCTCGACAAGATAAATTTTTTTCTTTAACTTAAATTATACGTGTCATTATATTAATGATTTATTGTGAGTCAACATGTCACGTAAACAGACTCAAACATCTGTCAACTCAGACTTATATGTTACGTTTTTTAAAATATAAAAATTATTTTAGACATAAAAAAAAATCATAAGGGCTTAAATGATCGAGGACCACAAAAGCTAAAATAAATTTTTTTTATTTAAACTTAAAAAGTTCCATGACCGGAAGCTACCGGTGATTTGGTGCATTGGTGCACCTGCGATACATGGAAATCCAACGCAGGAAGAGCGTGAGGATGCCACTTCCGGAAGGCTTTTAGCCTTGAGACGACCGACGTGCTGCTCTCTGTGATCCTATGCCACTTCCGGAAGGTGCAAGTAAGTAATCTGATCAACTTGCGGCATCTGAAAGCACATCCAGCATCAATTGCTGCAGTACCAAGGATGGGGGCGCAACTATCTTCTCTTCGGGAACTGGGGGAGTTTCATGTGAAAAAGGCGGCCGAGGGATTCGCGATCGATGAATCTAAGTGGACAACTTCGCATGAAGAATCTTGAGAATATTGGTTATGAGGATAATAATGGCGACAAGACTCGGGCTGACGTCAGCTGCCCCAAATGATGCCTCACACCTCGATTGACCCGACACCAACTGGTCAAACGGATCGAAACGTCGACCGAGGCACATTAAACATCCTGCTCGGGCTCGATCGTTCACACCACGCCAACACCTGCATCAGATGCTACTAGCCTACCCCCTGCAAACGGACACATCAGGAAACGGTAAGCTTTCCTATAAATACCCTCATATCCTGAACGGTAGGGGGGGGAGACAAAAAAAGACCTCTTCACATCATCTAACTTGATCGTCGGAGGGGTCGGGCCGAGCCACCGACCCGACCTGTGTGCAGGTACGAAGACGGAGCTGCTTCCCCATGAATACCCCAGCGAGGAATCTTCATCCCCCGAAAAAGTCCGACGAGCTCCGACGCGACCCGATCAGCACGACCGACCACATCGGCAACCTAGAGGGACGTCGAGCAAGACCCTCGCTCATTCGGACCCGAATCAGCTGCGTCGGCCCCGAGGCCACGGCTCAAGGTTGTTTACACCGACAATTGGTGATAGAACGAAGGCCACGAAAGAGAACCTTAAGGAGTGGACTTCAAGCTGGGGTGCACGAGCGGAAGGGATATAGAAGCCCGGAATCCCGAAGAGATCTTGGAAGCACTCGGACCGCATCAGCAGAATCCGATAGAGCTGCAGATTCCACGATATATGGGTTTAGAGTCTCCGAGTTGGCCGGAGACATCATGGGCGTCAAATCTGGAGCGCATCCAGCTGTCGCGTTGCTACCATAGAACATCTCAGGGTGGAGTTCTACGGCGTCGCCGGAGGAGCTCAGCTTCGAACTCTGCGACTCGTTTCCTTCCCTTGCTGAACTCTGCATCGCCAACCGTCCCAAGTCGAACGGACCCCTACCCATGCAGACTTCACCAAGACAAGACAATTTGCCATCGTCACTTCGACAAAAGTATAGACAAAGCTCCAAGAGAAGAAGGGTTTTGCCCAAAGAAAAAGAATCCAACATAAACTCGACAAGGAAGAAGAATGACCTTAAGACCTTTATTTCAGACTATATCTACTGCAGCTCACAAGCACAGGAGGAGGAGGTTTGTGAGCCCACTCAAAAAAGTAAACAAAAGTTCTTCTCTCTCTCTCTCTCTCTCTTTTATTTTAGTGATCTAAATATTTAGATGCATCTATCTACGCAAAAAAAATTGGCTCTCGACCCTGTAAATATCAGGCCTGATTACACTGTTGCTTCAAGCGCCTCGTGCGAGTGCGTAAACCTGCTCTGCTCTCGTTACAGGACCTTCCGAATCTTGTTTAGGTTCACTGTTTTGCCTGCATAATAGTCACCAAGAATGTCAGCTTCTTTCACCATTGATTTTTAAGAGCATCACAGCTATCGAAAATACAGACTTGATTCTCAAGACAAGTAATATATACATTGTGATGTCAAATTGTAACACATGAATCAGAATCTCTTTGTAAAACATTGTCTTGATAATAATAATGATCATAAATATTAAAAATTCAGACACCAAAACATTGACATCCAGCTTATCATAATATGCATGGCCAACTAACTCAAAGGTCATATTGCCTGTTCATTTTTGTGTACATCTATCTATCTTTCTCTTGTGCCATTCAGATCAAGTGGATGGTCATGACAAGAGCAACAATAAACCATTTTTAATAGGCCGATCAGTGATTCTCACAGGCAATGGGCAGCATCCATCATTGACACCGGCATAGATTAAGTGCATCTTTTTATTCTAATTTAAAGAAATAAAAATTGTTAAGCTTATAGAGAACTATATTGGCTGAGTCCTAAGTAGTAAGAGATAAGGAAAAAGCAATCAGACAAATATACTACTAATAAAATGTGACTGAGTCAATGAAACACTTCCCCTCTCTCTCTTTCTCCTTGAGACACTTCCCTCCATCATCTTTCCTCTCCATGTCTCCTTTCCATTAAAAACAAAAAACAGCAAACCCATTGTGGATTTCCGGGTTACACATCGACAATATGCAACTAAAAACAATATAAAATCTTTATTATCTGGACAATGTATATAAGAACTTCACATTTCCTTTTAAGCAAATATACAAGTGATATTTCATGCAATCTGCTTGTGGCTTTTCAGGCATCTTAAATGGACCATCTAAAATCCTAGTCTCCACAAAAAGTAATGATAAAAATTTACCTGGGAATAGAGGAAAGTTCCAAGGATAGCAATGGCAGCTCCAAGCGCATTGACAGGTTGAACAGGCGTGTGGAAGATTATGATGGATGAGACAATGACAGAAATACGCTTCATGGTGTTCCCAATACTAAACGTCAAAGGAGAGATTTCATCCAAGGACATGTATGAAACCTGGTTGTACAAATGGTAGAAGACACTCTGGGCAGCCACCCACCTAACAGTTTGCAGTTTCATAGCCACATAAATTTAATAGAGTAGCTAAAAATTATGAGGTTACACAAACGACATGGTATCTAGCACAGAAGTCAAAAGTTAACCTCTAAAAGAATATAATTATCTAAAATAGTGGTAGCATTAGACATGTTTAGCATGAAGATGAGTATAAACTTGGAGTAAAATCAGAAAAAGGCAAGGTTCTGAAACAACTAAAGCTCGATTTCTGATCTTTTAAATACACTAGTTCTAACTTTTGAACGTCAATCAAGTGACGGAAAAGAAACACACGAACATAAGGCGAGGATCACATTTTAAATTTTAATATAATCATACCATGAAAAGCTCAATATTACAAACAGACTAAATAGTTTCCTAGCAAAAATTTGAACACAATGGATGCTTGGTTTGCTGAATGCAGATCGGGCCATTTTAATTACAACTTTCCAACACAAGCCACTGGGAGTACACAATGCTAAGGTCCTGCAACTAGCAAGAGTTAATTTTTGACAGGCAAATAGGAACAATGGGTGTTTAAGCTACTGCATGAATAAAAACAAAATTCATAAATGAGACACACCAATGAAAAGGTTATGGCATACCAGACGAAATGTGGACCAATCTGTGAAAGTGCCTTCTGCCAGCCAGCAGTCCACATCTGCGGGCCCTCAATTGCAATAGCAAAAGGTGTGAGTATCAACAGGGATAGAATCGACAGGCAAGCATAATAGTTCATCCCACCAACTGACTTCCCTTTCATCCCCTTCTTAGAAAATATGTTCCGAAACACAAATGCAAGATTCGATATCATTGCGCCCACAAAACCTGAAATAGGAAAAAAAATCACAGCTAATACTCTCACCAATAAGTTCATAGAGGATTACATCTAAAATCATAAAAATTATAATTCCAAGACAGCCTTCCAGTATTAGAATGCTTTGGTTCCCTTGACCAACATAATTCAGTGAGGTTACTTTCTGAGTCATTTTCATAGACATGGCTCACATATGTAACACTAATACTGATTAATAAAAAACTCTTAGCAGTTGCAGCATGCTCATGTAACTAGGAAGCAAGCATCAACAAACTAATTCAGCAACAGCGGCATCTAAATTAGGAATGTTGAGATAGCATAGAAAGCAAGGGATATAACCTGAATAAAATACTAGAATGCTTGTGAGCAATAACTTCATACTGCAGTAATTTGCTTGTCATTGACCAAGTAGTTTGATCAGAAAATTCACTAATTTCTGGTTTAGTTAAAATAGCTCAAAATTGCTATTACATATGAACAAAGATCCACAGAGGTCAACTTCATGAGTTAAGCATTATTGTATCTCTTCTTACCGGTCATGTTGAAGTTGAGCTCGGTCACCGCCGCCAGGGCACAACCGCCAATAATGGGGACCAGTGACAAATACACCGGCAGAGGGAAAGTTTCACCCAACAGCAACCTCGACACCAATACACTGAATGCAGGCTCCCCACTCTTTATTATGTGGGTAAATGACACCGCCACCTTCGACATGCTCACCGTCGCCGCCACATGGCCGATGGTATGAGCGACCGCAACCTGATCAAAGAAAATCCACCTGAGAAACCGAACCAATCATGAAAATCCCTTGCGTTTGACCAAAATATCTCATTTTTCTCACCGGTGCAAGCGCCTTCCAGAACTCAAAGTCGGTCTCGGGGGCCTCAGCTATCCCGGTGGCCCAGGAGACGAGCATCATCAGCGAACCCGTGGCGAGGGAGAGAGTGGAGGTGAGCCAGGGATACGGAAATGCGTTGAGGACCTTCTTGTTGTAGATGTTGAACACCACGTTGAGAGCCCACCAGGTGGCGAAGTAGATCCCGATCCTTAGCTTCTGACCCGCGGCCGACCGAGCTTCCTGGTGCGAGATCTCGATGTTCTCCGACCTATCGGCTTCGAAGGCCTCGCGCTTGAACCCGAGACCGCGAGGCTTCACGACCGACGGGAAACCAAGTCCCTCCAGGGAGGGGAGAGACAGGGGCTTCCGAGTAGAAAGCTGGAAATTAGAGTTTTTGGCAGCACATATGGACGGAAGGATGCTGATTCGAGGTGCAGCGAGCAGAGATTTGGGCCGGACAAGATCCGCGGCGCCCAACGCTAAAGCGGATTGCTTCACAGCGTAGATCATATTGAAGTATCGAAAAAAGCCGATTTCTAGGGCTTAGAGAGGCCGGGGTAGCGATTCAATCAATCTAATAAAACTTGCACCTTTCCTCCCTCTCGATCCCGAGACACTCGAGAAACCCAAGAATGTTCCCTCCTCTCTCCAATTTCCGATCTATAGAAGAAGAGATCTCAAGGGCAAGCGACGTGGGATCGAAGGTGGAGGTCCGCCCTCATATAAAGACCCCGGAAAAGTGGAAAACTAGGTGTGCCGGAGAAAGAGCCGGGAGAGACGAGGTTCAAGAGAGCCATTCGCGAGGAGGTGTCCATGTCGTAACTGCCATCTCCATCTCCACGCAAACCGCAACGGCGTTGAGTGAAGCCGCGACGTAAGTTGTAGCACAATGGGCGGTCGAGCGAGGGAGGTTTTAGGTTTGCGGCGTGGAAGATTCCCATGAAATTCCAGGGTGGCCTTTCATGGGCGACGTGGACCATGACCCTTTGCCACCGTGGGAGGTCACCCATGACTGAATGATCTATGATACTAAAAGATGGAACCCAAATCTAAGATGTCTCATCCTTTTCTTCTTCTGCGTTATTTTTAGGTGATATGACGGATAATTTAATTACGATAGAATCCGATTTAAGTTATTCAGAGAGCAAATAATTTGATGATCTGATTATTAATCACCAATTTTATGGTATCTGAATCCGGTTTAAATGAATCGAACTTTCTTAGAAAAATAAATTTAATGATGATCCGATTCGTTTTCGGAGTATTATCGTCTTCAAAGAAGAAAATATTATTTCTTGAGAGCATGATAAAAAGGCACCTTCAGTTGCATACATAAACTTTGAGTAAATATTGGCAATTGAGAGTGAAGGGAATGGAAATCCACAAAAGGGAGTGATAGATGACAATATTTTACCTCTGTAACATATATAGTTGATGTTAGGGTTCATGGCTATCTAATATAGAGTACCAAAAGGGTGTGTGACTACATATCCCAGTGTAACTTAATTCAGTATCTCCATCATGGGTCTCAGACTGTTCTTCTAAACTTGCAATAAAAGAAGACAGAGTCAGCTGAGCTTCACAAGTGATTAGTGAAAGAGCACACCCAGCCTCCATATCATCAAATTTGGATAGGGTATCATTCAAATTGCAGACATGGATTCTAGGTGTTCAGTGGGAAAGAAAGTGTGACAATCTGGTCTACTGAACAACTTTAAAACCGGAAAAGATTGAACAAATATTTTTTTGAAAGAAAGGCAGATGAGAATATCCAATCCTTTACATGTAAAAGATAACCCTAGACCAATCGGAATTCCCTTCGCGTCTCACCGAAATCTTCAAATGCAGTGGAGTATGAATCTCTCGATGCTGATGATCTCGACGATCTCGCTGGTGATGGGGATTTGGCCTTAGCCTTCTTTGGTTTTCTCTTCTTAGGGGCTTTTGGTAAGTCTGGGCAAGGATGGTCTGTGAAAATCTCAGGTGGTGGTTGTAGCTCTCTTTGCTGATCAAAATCTGTTGCGGCAATAGTTAGTAAGATAAAAGTAGAATAATTCAGAGAACAAGAACAATGCCAAATCAAGTGACTGCTTTGCAGTTAATTGCTTTTACAGGAAACAAATCAAGCTAATAATGAGATTGCACATGTGAATAGCAATCACATGTAGCATGCAATGACTCATCCATACTTTATGCAGTAACAATGCATTCCTTTTAAGAAATTCTTCTTTCATGCTTGCAAAACATGCTACTCAGTTTATTTTTGCTAGTGCTAGGAAGGTACGTTAAAAGCTTGTTCCGCATTACTATGCTCCTCACATGCATGTAATCGTGGTTCATGTCGGGCTAAATAATGTAAGCTCCAACTCATCCATACTGGTAGAACATATTATATGTGCAGACCATGAAAGCTAACTTGTTGAGACATGTCAAGTGCAATCCAAGTTGTCATTAAAAAAGAGTTGTTTCTGGCTAATGAACAGTATAGAATTCTTAGTTTCATGAATAATAATGTTCCTAGGAATCCTTCACCACAACAAATTATCATGGTGTGCCTACCAACCTAAATATGCAGTTCCATGCCAAAAGAATGAGAGTTGACATTTCTATCTTAGGTTGGAATACAATATTTCCAGGACAATGTGACCATTGATTCAACATAATGTTCTGGTAATTGACAGTAATTAACTGCAACAAAAGTTATATTCTCAATCTTAAAAACACAGAAAGTTTTGAAGAAACATTTAATGGCATACCTGAATAATCTTGTGGAAGGTAGGGATAAAGGAAAAAAGGTAATTTTTATCACAATAAGTTGGAGTATAGAAGCCTTAGTGGAATGTACTCAATGAAGAATACAAAGTGATCACAATCAAATGATAAGCTCAAATATCTCTCCTTTTCGGATCTTCATATCAGTAACAGCTTACTGCTGTTTTGAACTTAGGTTATGCTAGCTTGCCATTTGGCTAAAGTAAATTCTTTCAACTTGTTGCAAAATATATTTATTAAATGAGTCATGACTGTAGCAGAATTTGATACATAGAAGAGAACTTCCTCTGAAATTTTGTCTTGTTTAACATAATGATAGCTTAATGTTGGTAGAGAGATGGATACTTGTTTTATTGCACAAGACTAATCTGTAGTCATCAGCAGATGCCAATAAAATTAAGTCGCTGATGATGTCGTCTACCACAGTCATGAGTTCTGTTTTCTTTTATGGTCCTCATTTAGGTTAGTGTTGGTTTATTATCTTGTACTGTAGGTCATCATATGTGTAACGTTATGATTTTGTGAAAAGCCAACATGTTAACAAACAATTATGATTTAGTTAGTTAACCTTAAAACTTCAAGTTATTGAGCTTTCAAAAAAGATCATCTTGTGAACTTGAGAACTATGTAGGCCTATATTTCAATAAAAAGAAAAAGAACTACAGAAGTACATTACTTCAAATATCTTAGTATACTGCAAAGTAGAGTTGCAGAAATCTCAACAAGAAACCTAACTCCTTTAGTGGCATCATGGTATGCAGTACCGATTGGTTCCACCCGGTATGGGCGGTACATACCGATCCGACGACATACCGGTATACGGACCGTCCGGTACCGCTACAGTGCTACAGTATTACACTGTAGCAGTGCTACAGTACTACAGTAATGAAAAAAATATATAAAATTGTTCGGTATACCAGGGTGTACCGCTCGGTACGCCCTGATATACCGCTCGGTACACCGGTACGGTATTACATACCTTGAGTGGCATCATTGTTGGGTTCCTAAATTTTACTATTGCTTTCTGGAAATATCATCTTTGCATTCCGTTTAAATCCTAGTCAATATTTGCATCCTTAGTAATTATAAAGTACCAAATTATATTATCCATCTTCTAATAACAAAAAATATCAAAATAGTGATCTAATACTACGTAGATCACCAAATGAGACAAATGTTTCAAAGAAGTGATCACAAATGGTAAGAGATGCAAAGAACAAACCTTGTGAAGCCCACGAGGGTTCTCTCGATCCGAAGTTGCTAAGGGAACCTGATGAGAAATCAGGTGATGTCTTGTAATCATTCATCTGCACCACAAAGTCATGCAGAACTATCAGCACAAATCAACCTCCTTGTTTTGGTTTACAAGATCTCCTCAAAGGTTTTAAAGAGATCACACAGAGACATAAGCATAAGCTTTTTAGCATTAGACCATTACCCAAGAGGGAGAACTCCCATACAGGTTGTCGAAGCCAACATGTGCAACATGCTTTACATCTGTTGGATACCCTATTTCCATCTCCTGCTCCTTGTGCACTGCAAGAGAATCATCACAGAAAGTACTCCAATAAGAAAACACCAGATCTTAACTGTGATCATCTGTTATGGAGATAGAAATAGAACAAAGAAAATTAAAGGAGTCAATAAAAGCAGTACCAAATATATGAGAGATGTATTTGATTCCCTTGAGAAGCCCCTTCATCTTGATTGCCATTGCACTGAGGCTTTACAGAACATGCACTTGACAATAAGAATCTGAAAGCAAACAAGATTAATCATGCAGTTCATTGCCAATGTAGACTGGCAGGGAAAGCCAAGGAAGCATACCTTTAATTTATGGCTCCAAAGCCAAAAGCTATATTCCCATCCATCTTTCTCTCTAAAGTTTCCAAAGATGATGGGGTTTCAAACTTCAAAGTACCCAAGAAAAACGAAGGAACAAAAAAGAATTGGTTTTGGCTTTTAGAGAGAGAGAGAGAGAGAGAGGAAGGGGGGGAGGACAGCAACAATGATGATAATTTACAGTTGGAGTAGGGGATCAAAAGGAGAGCTCTTGATGTCCCAATGCCTATATAGTTATGGCAGGTTGGTGGTCCTTCCAAAAGGAGGAAGCCTTTAACTTGCCATTGAATTAATCTTTGTTGGAATATCTAAATGGTGGAGATGTCATCCTGCTTCGGGTAACCTGCAACAAAAAATCCCACTGAAAAATAAGGTGGTCTGCTCCTATACTGCCCCGCACCAAAAGCATACAAACAAACAAAAAATGATTTTCTTTTGAGCTGATTAAAATGATATTTTCCTTCATCAAGATCTATCTGATCTAATATTCAAGAAAAGGATCTTACCCAAGGAAGAATTGTCTTATTAGCAAAAATGATATTTCTAACTATTTCAGGTTGAGTAATACAAGATGCAAAGCAGGTTACCTTGATTTGCTTCAATTTGTCCCTGTAAATGGGTTATACTGGTGCAGCAAATTTTAAATATCTAATGGCTATATACAAAAAATGAGAAATGCATTGGAGATTGATGACATTATTTCAAGAACATGAAATGCTACAGATCTTTTATCTTATTAGATGGAGAATTTTTATCTATTCTTGTCCATGCATAGGACTAATCTTAGATTAAGTAGATTTTTCTTATGGTATCTGTTGAAGATCATTATAATTTTCCTCATTCAAATTGTACAAATAGCTGTAGCTTTGTATCTATCTATAGCTGGTGTAGGAATGTTTATGTGCAAGCAAGGTGCTCTGTTTAATATCCAGTTGCATCTGAATCATATCTGTGGAGGATATCTCTTGCCTATTAAATTTGTCTGATATATTTCTGCCTCCACCATTTCTGGGGATTCAAACCTCTCCTTGAAGTCCACATCATTCTCATGTGAGCAACATCCACCATGATTAAAAATGACCTACAGAAGCATATTATCAGATACATAATCTTTGGGCTTCCTTCTGAAAACGCTTGGCAAGAAAGATCTTACACCTAACACACAACTGCATTGAAGTAAAGAATAGAAGTAGGTAAATAAAATGTATACTTTATTTCAAGGATCAGAAGATTATTAATAACTCTCAGAGACAAACTATTAGAAGAGAAAAAAAATAAACAGTTTACTTATTCCAACATGCTTTAGCAGAATGCATATCACTGGTTAGAGACTAGTATACTCATAAGGAAAGCTTTCAATAACCAAGTCATGATTAGAAAGAAAAAAATTTTGAATAGAAGATATTATTAACTCACATTATCTAATTCTTTCTTCGGTTTGATAATCACATACTGCATATCTGCACAAAAACCAGCTAATAGTTCTGGAATTTGAAAGTATCGGTAGTGCAGTTAGTGGCAATCATCAATATATTGCAAATTGATGGATCAGTCTGTTGGCCCTCATATCAATATAAGTGGCATTCAACCACTTAAAAAAGAGAGAGAGGAGAAATGTTTTCTTAATTACACTAGACTAGTTCAAAAGTTTATCACAAAGAAAATTCAAGCCTCATGGATGATGTGCTAAGGCTGGTCTGACAGAGGACAACAGGAGAGTTATTGTACAATTCTGACTCAGACTTGAGTTTGCTTTTATGGTCATGGTATTGAAATAAAGTATGACTTCAAATTTACAGCTGACAAAAGCTCTGCATAGAGACATTTAATATAGACTATTGAAGTGATTTCAGGTTAATCAATATCAACTTGCATCACTAGGTAGCAAAAAATCAATAAAAACCAAAGTTCCAAACCACTTTCTGGATATTTTTCTTTTCCCCATTAAAGAGTACTGTCCTCTGTCCTACCCCAAAGTATGTTTCAATGAACTTTGAAGATTGTTTGACAGGTGAAACACTCTATTGAGCACTTTCAGTAGGTGAAGTCTCGAGCACCCACAAGTCATGGGAGATAATTATCTAGGTTGCCAATAGTAACATACATAAAATTGTGCAGGTAAGTTTAATGCAATTTTTTGGACAGGCATGGCTGCACATCCCCCATACTAAATGGATGCCAATTCATCTGTCATTCACTGACATATGGATCTGTAGATCTTGTAGGAAGCCTATCAGCATCAGAACAGCAGAGGAACATAAACAATTCTTCTGATTTGATTTGGCTTCATCTCACATGTGCTTGACATGCCTTTCTGATTCACTGGGTCATGTGCCAATGGAAGCTCCCCATGCTTCTGATATCATACTGGCAAATCATCTGCACCCATGTTGTTCCAACAAGAGATCAACATGTTGCAGAAATTACAATATTGTTTTGGTGCAACAACTAAGAGACATCTGTATTGTTTTATTTTTATATTCCACAAATGCCTTTGTTGTTGTCACAGCTTGAGGCAATGCATTGTTTTGTCTAGGGAGTTGTCTGATGGTTGGAGCCATGTCTTGGAGGTTGCTGCTTGGCCAGTGACAAGTTCAATCTTTGACACTCCATTTTTAGAGGCATAACAGTTGACCCTAACCTAAAAGAAGGAATGCTACTGTTCTATATTTATGAATAAATATACGGTATGATCTAGTAATAATATTTTTATTAAACTTATTATTTTCAGTATATATACACACACTATACTAATTACTAAATGGATTGCACAGCCTATAAATTCAAGGAAACCCTCTAAAATATTCAAAAAATGAAAAAAAAAAAAAAAAAAAAAAAAACTCTTCTTAGAAAATGTAGAATTTTAGACAATTATGTGCATTTAAATCTCAACAAAAGCAAAGTATATAAGACATCTATCCAAATCTTAGTTGATTGATTTGCTAATATTGAAATCTAAAACATAATACAGTTTGAATTTAAATCTTTCTTAGTCAACTAATATAATGTTTAAAACTGGTATCAAAAATCAAACAAGTAATTCTAAGATTGATGAGAGAAAGTATGAATTATCTTATAACATTTCATGCTAAAATTGATCATCGTTCCTGTAGAATTGCAAGAGCAGAATACTTGGTAGATTTTTGTTTTATCATTTTGTAAGTTAACTCCGACAAAATGAGCAATTCTAATGAGTAAAAATTTGATAAACCATTCATTGAAATTGCCATACACATAATTATCTTCCCACTAACTCTAGGACTGAAAGAGTGTCACATAGTATATGCTTGACAGTTAAACTGAGAGAGTTCCTAAACTTCTCAGCCATGTGAAGTGCATGGCCAGCAACTGTAGCTAAGCATGAGCACCCATTCCTTACATTTGACACTAATAACATCAGTATCAATAGGAAGTGGACTTCTTATTGATATATAGGTATCTTGACAAAGTCTCAATGGACTCAAACTTCACAATATATGACTTCACGCTGACATATAGCAGTCATCAGAAAACCATAAAGCAGCAGTTTTCCAGTGGTGGCACTCAGAACCCATGCTTGTACTACCATATTAATAGTCCAGGTAAATCTGCATGACCAAGCAACAAGCAAGCAACTTAGGTGACATAAAAGTTACATAAATTATATGTACCTCAAAATTTTAGCAGTCCTTGCTTCAAGTTGAATTTCTCTGTATGATTAATAGAGTGAAGGTCAAGAAAATGAGCAACAAGCAGGAGGAAGAGGAAGAAGGAACAGGAATGAGGAATAAAAAGGAAGAGGAAGAAGAGGAGGAAGAAGGGGAAGAAGAAAGAGGAGGAAAAGAAGGCAGTGGAGGAGGCAAAGGCATACTGGAGCAGGTGAAAGACACATGGGCAGTGGCAGGCCACGATCATGCAAACAGCTCATCGGTTTTTGAGCTGGTCCTCCTCCTTGTGACTCCTCAGCTTCCCGACTCCTCACAACAGTTCAGTCGAACCCTGGGTAAAAGAAAACAAATGGTGATTTCTCCGGAAAAGCCTCACTTTATAGGTTCTTACCTAGAAACACCCCGCTTTTCATAATTTACTTAAGGGCAAACAAATCTGCTCAAATACCCAAAAAAACCCAAATCAATTGACTAAACTACCAATATAAATGAACCGAACCAATTCATCCTGCACTCACTTCTCCCTCTTCTTTGCCACCATCGCCGTCGGGACCCACCTATGGCCTCCTCCATTCTTCCTTCATCATCCGTCTGCTTCACCAAGGTAGAGAAGACATTGGAGGAGAGGAATAGACATGTGCGGCGAAGGTAGAGAAGGAGATCAGGGTCAGTGGAGGAAGGAGGAGGCTGCTCAATTTTGGATGTTTTCAGAATAAAACATCCAAAAAAAATATTATATATATTTCAACCAGATTGGACTGCTTGATTTGGGATGGTCCATGTACCGGTTGACAATCGGACGAGCAAATACCAATCAAATCATACCGAACCAGCCAGTTAAGAAAATCATGGTGGTCGTGGGCATAATTGTCGTTTGCAACTAATGTCCATCGAGCAACAAGGAGCTTGCCCAATGGCATACATTCTTTGGGCTTAACATGAGAAAAAGAGAAAAGAGAGAAGAAAAGGATTAAACAAGAGAAACAGAAAGAGAAAATATATCACCAAACTGAGAAAAAAACATGATCATTGTCCGGAAATGAAGATGCAATATACTATACTAGGAAAGAAGAACACTCTTCTGCTGATCAGCTTGGAGCTGAATAACCTACAAAACAATATGCGATACAAATGCATAAGATACACAACAAAAAATTGACAAAAATGTCAAATCAGCAATTAATCAAATGTTCATTAAAAAACTGAATCAAAAGCAGAAACTATAGAGAAGAACACAAGTACCTGGCCTAACTCTGGATCCTGGACAACAGAACCATTACGATAGAGCTCTTTCTTTAGGTCCTTCAAGATCTTGTTGTAGCTGAACTCTTTCTATAAACCCTGCAAAGTAGTTAGACATTTCCATTCGCTGCACTCAAACACGCACATACTCCTTTGAACCAACACCTGAGTCGTCAACAATTGCTTCAGCAAAGGGATCTGCAAGCAATACATTAAGAGCTCAGGCTTACATCTTATTGGCAAGCCATTTCTCAATCAGAAAAAATCGTATAGTCAACTTACCAAAAGCACTAGGGAGTTGAATGTTTACATCCGACATGAACTCTTGAGAACTGAAGACATCAAGTGAGATGTGCTTTTCTTATCAGTTCAAAGCTGAAGAAGGTTAAAGCCAAAACATTGCTAATCACAATTTGCAAGAAATTGAATGTGCAAATCAAATGAAAAGCAACAAAATTGATGTTCATTTTCCTCCTTTTCAAGTAACAAGTCATTAGTTGATGAGGTGCCAAAAGATCAAGTGCCACATAATAGCTAGATGGAATGTATCTAATAACCTTCATTTTTATTGAGCTAAATATTCTCAAAAAAAGAAACAAATTCAGTTCTCATGATTGCTTCGTAGAATGAACTTTATGACTTAAATAGGATAGCTTCAGCTAACTTTCAAGCAAAGGGCACAATAAACATCACATTATGTAGCCTAGTCCATCCCAAAGAAAGCAAGTGCTTCAAATGAACATCTTAGCAGCATTCACACCTAAAACAAAAAAAATTCTTGAGCATCAGTGATGAAAAGCCTGACCCACCCAAGAAAAGTTGGCTTCATCGCAGAGATCTTTCATGCAACAAAATTCAGTAAAACAAACCCCAATACAGTGCCACCCAAAAAGCATAGGGCACCATGATCCACAAGCTTTTTGGCATTTGCAAATGGTTATGTGAAGCTTACTTGTTGATCTATATCTTCTAATTCAATGGCTTCACCAGTTTGGCATTTAAAAGTGTAATTCATAACTCGCTTCTCTTCAATCTCTGATGCTAACTGTACATTTGCCAACCACACACCCATTGCAATCTGCAACTCTTGCAATTTAATCTTTATTCTACGTGTGAGGTAAAACAGACTCGGATACCAGCACAAACTGTCACTCAAACCACATCCCAACTGTGAAGGAACTAAAATCAAGGTTTATATGAAACCACATACTCGAATATAACATGGTGGAGCAAGCCTATTGTCATTACAACATTACCTTTTAGTTGTCTAGATATAAAACCATATTTATGGTTATAGTGGTCATATTGACTTTTCCTTATCAGCAAATGATTTTGAATTTTCTCATCCATAGTCACATTAATCTGTGCTCTGAGCTTCTCAGCACATTGATGATTTTAGAGTTGCCTATCAGTTATCATCCAGGTTGGTTTGGTGTATTGTATGTTTTCTATGCACACCCTGTAACGAAATGGGGTATGGGATGTCCGTGGATAACAAACTGGGAAAAAAGACTGCAACAATTGAGCTAACATAAAAGAGAAAACAAGGAAATTCATAAATTGTATTGTGCACACCAAAGAATTCATTATATAAGAACTTTTGCACTTCTTAGCACTCCTGATAAATGTTTGCATGCCTCATAGGTTTTATGAATGTGCGTAGAACAGTAAGGATTTCAAAGGAATTAACACAAACAAATTTGTGGGAACTAGGTCAGCAAGAATCTAGTTAAGAATCACTCCAGTGAGGCTAGAAGGATCCAGGATTAAGGCACTGGAAGAAACTTGAATTGGTGGCCATGTCATAAAATAACATTTCACAACTGACAGCTTATTCCAAGCCTGAAGCTCAATCATTACTTGAGGCTTTTCTTCTAAATTGGACATACATAACATGGTATGTTGAACCTGTTGTATGGCCTCCTACCGCCCTCTTTCTTCCAACCTCACACCTTATTTATTTTTTTGCATGTATAATGAGGTTGACCGTTGACCTAATCCTAAACATAATTCAATTAATTCTAAAACAAAATCAAAATTAGATAACTAACTTAAAAAAGGAACAAAGAGAAGGAAACACAAAAACTAATGCAGAACAATTAACAAAGACCAAATTACAAAGCTAAACCCATTTTATCCCTAGTCAAGAAAAAATATCCAGACCATTTCTTGATGTACCAATCCAGAGGCCACAAACTGATTTTGGTTGATTATGAATACAATTCAGAATCCTCATTGAAGCACAAAAATAAGCCTGTACTACAATTTGAAGTAATTAAGGCTAGGCTAACTAAGGCTTCATCTTTTTGGAGAGGGGAGTGGCCCTCTCAGTTGGCATGCCTTTTGTGCTCTGACCTACAAGTTTAATTAATATAATCTGCTTTCTGGATAAAAAAAAAAGTAATTAAAACTGGGCCATCTCATTACCTCAAGCCTTGTCTCTCTAATTTTCAATGAAGGAACAATTTCTTCTTTCATTTTACTCTCTATTTACACATAAATGTGTGGTTTCCGCTATCAGTATTACGATACAGGGATATACAGGCATAAGTACAATTCCCCGCTATATTTCTTGAAGGGATAACTATGCCAAACAACACAGGAACTAAAAAGAGCCGATCCCAACTCCCAAAACCAAAATCCATGGACGACTCAGGCACGACAAAGTGCAACATCAGCAATAGCAGGTTGACAAAATCAACCAACAACAAAGAACTCTCCTTTTTCGCTCAAGGCAAACTCTATATGTCTTTCAAGAAGCACAGATAAGCAGAATATATAATCACAATATACCTAATCTACAGATGATCCCACAGCATGAACCACCAACGAAACACTCGCAAATTTCAAGAAAAAATCGTAAACTAATCCAAGCCCCCAGATTCAATAAAAGCCTCAACAAAAACCAGCGTAAAACCCTAGTTTTCTATTTTTATTTTCCCGCTATGTTTCTTGAAGACATAAAACGGACCATAACACAACTAAAACAAATCGATCACAAGTCTCAAAATCAAAATCCATGAACGATTGAACATATCAACCATACACACACACAAAAAAAAACTCTCCTTTTTCGCTTATGGCAAACTCCATGCGCCTTTCAAGAAGCAACATTTAATACAAGAAAAGCTCAACAGAAACAAACATGAAACCATGGAACGAGCAAAAGCTCGTTCGAAGAAGAGGCCGCTCGTAACTACTAACCTAGAGATTAGGCTTCCGAACTCGTGAGAAAAATCGATACTTTCGATCTTTTGATCGGCAAAACTGGAAGAAGAAATCGAGGTACTATTGCTACAATACAGAGGAAGTGCCTTCTAATCGAACTCGTACGTATTTCCGCATGCAACTCTATATGCACATTCATTACCTACCGTCCATTTCATCAAGGAAAAACCATTGATGGTGTGATGCTGGAGGCTTGGATTCTTACTCGCTCAGGGGGTCTAATGCTCTTGCAACACATTCCGAAAGCCACAGGAAGAGGCAAACGATACCTTCTTTGAGATGGAATCGCATGGATTACGATCCGCCCGTGACGCTCCCGTTGAAGATTTCGATGGTGTCGCCCTGCTTCACGTCGTGCCACCTGAAGGACTTGTCCTCGTCCATCACATTCTGCTTGTAGATGAAGAAGTAGCCGTCGGTGGGCAGATGGAAGTTGAAGACGCCGTACAACCTCTGCAGCTCCTTCCTCAGCTCGCTCACGTTGTCCGACGCGTTCACGTCCACCGGCACCTTCTTGGTGCCGCACTTGGGCAGCACCATCAGCCGCAGCTTCTTGGAGCCCTGGAGCGGCGCCGACGACGAGGGCGGCGACGGCGGGAAGGGCCTCACCACGAGGCTCACCTCGGGGTCGTCGGCGACCCCGCAGTCGGCCAGCGTCTGGTGGTCCTGCAGCTCGGCACCGCCGTGGAACAGCATGAACCTGCTGGTGGGAATGCCTTCGAGGTCGTGAATCCTCGCCTTGAGCTGCCCCACGGTGTCGGTAGCGTCGGCGTCCAGCGTCAACTGTCGCTTGGACACGGTGACGTTCACGACGACGTTGACGCGGGGGTGGGCGTCGAGCTTCGCGGGCGGCGGGGCGGAGTCCTGGTCTGAGAGGGCGAGATGGATGCGAGAGTTCTGAAGGATATCGTAGTGCTCGGTGTCGCGGTCATCCTCCAGCTCTTGCCCGTTGAACACGAGCTTCTGGGTGGAGACGGGAAAGCCCTCGTACTTCTGGATCTTCTCCTTGATCTCGAGGACGGTGTCGAAGAAGCCGATCTCGATGGAGAAGTGCTTCCCATTGGAGGTCTCGAAGAAGACATCCATGGATGAGCTGCTGCACGACAGGAGGCGGTCGCTTGGTCTTTATAGGCGCCCAAAGTTTGATCCTAACGAATCGCGATTCGCTGCCCACTTATTTCTCGCCACCGTTTCCTTCTCCCACACAAAAAATGGTGGCTTCTTTCTTATTGCATCCGTAACATCTAACGATGTAATACTTCAAATTTCTATCGTATCTAATGTGGATTTGGTGGACCGTTAATAAGCATATCAAAACGACATATTGCATGCTGGTCACGTGGGGGATTTGGGATGCACATCGCCTATCTGAGCCCGAATCTTAGCCCGAATCTATCCAACCATGTTGGAATATTATCGATCATATATTACATTGATTTATTTTTCATTCACTTACCATAAAATAAATCATAAATATCAAGTATTATGATAAATATCCTCAAAAGATAGTTCCAAATTAAATTATGCATGGCCTATGTGACTATGTGAAATTTACTAATAATCTTTGAAAATCTAAGTCAAATATGAGTCAACCCTGAATTTATATCAAACATCAGTCAAGACAAGGCTAATAAACATAGTACAGTTGGTTGAGTTAGACTGGAGTACAATAAACACTTGGGAAACTGTCAACTAGGCGACCGTCCAAGGCTAGACCAGCTAATCCAGCCGCGAATCTCTAGTTAATAAAATTCATGATGAATCACTTATTCAAAATAATCTACGATATAAATGAATAAACTATCATCAACATTGCTATTGCCTTCGGTATAGTTGATCAGAAAGTCAACATGATCCAATTCGATTTCGAATGAGATAGATCCATCCTAAGGGGCTCGTGTCGAGGCGAGAGAGACGGCTCAAGTGAGCAACGAAGGTGATAGGTGGACACACGATGTATTACAAGCTCTCGACAAATGATCCATGATCATCTCGAGGAGTAGCTTATCTATTGGAGGAAAGTCGGGATCGTGACGATATGTGTTTTAGTCCTTTGGAAGCACTTAACATCGCTATAAGACACCTTAGACATGCTTGGGCCCTGTATAAACGGTCAACATCGAGGACATCCCGACCTGACTTCTCTAATGCTCAAGTTTGTAGAATAGGTTGAGGAGGTTTAATAAAATTCAAAAGAGTTCATATAGTGCCCGCTTACTTTCGTTTGGTTTAGGAGCTTGGGTTTTATACTTGAGCGGTGACATGAGGCCAACAATGAGTCAGGGTATCTCTTTCTCGACCTGGGGATCATTGACGATGGTAGCTGATGAGCGTGTCTTTCGGATGACAATTGTGATGATATGCTTTGTCAGGACTCCTAGCTTGTTTGGGATAGACAGTGGATGGTCCCTTATGTCGTTCATCTGTAAAGAGGAGCGGGGGATGTTGAGGTTTTTTTTTTTTTTTTTGTTGAGTTGAGATAAGTATGGGTCGACGGACCATTTTCCTATTGATGGCTACATAAGATTAGCGTGAGTTATCCATATATTTGCTTAGATGACTTTCTCAGCCCAAGTGGCTGGCAGGGCGAGTTGGTGATGCTATTATTTTTCTTATCAAACATCAATAAATATATTCAACATGATGCTCAGTATGACATCATACGCATGGTTTAGTTAGATTGATAAAACAAAAAAATTCTTTATTAAAAAATTTGTCATGCTCATCAATTTATAAATCATAAATTAATAGCATACCGTTGACATAAATTCAAACATGCTATTCAAATTATTCAAAAGCATGACATCATATGCATAACTTACTTTCCTTTTTAAACTAAAATTAAATACGTGATTGATAAAAATATAGTTTTTAATCAAATCCGTTCCAATATACTATGATTATCTAACACGCGGGTCGGGGGTCCACAGCTGATGGTGATCCACTTTTGAGATCGTTTTAGATTAAGGTGTTAGAAAGTCAAAATTTATGTGTCGTGATCATTGAACTTGGATGATTTGATCGAATATTAAAATTAATGAATGTACTCGATCACATATAGTTGTCCTTTTCAAAGCACCATTTTCACGTGTCATTTAACCATCCATGGATAGAACACTGAATCGTTAAAATTATGATTACATAATATTAAAATTATAAGTCATCTAAATAATCTAGTGTGGTCAAGTCGACATTCTTATTGACACCACGTTATCGATCTTTTGAGGTTGAGATTTCATTTGATGTGTCAATGAGTAGATGTGACATGTTGACGAGAACCTATATGTCATGTCTATATTAAAATTAAATTACATATTTTTTTTATAGTTATAGAAAAACAAGAACATCCTAAATATCTTAACATATCAAATAATTGTATTTACGGAACCTAACTGTTACGGTAAGCAACTTTTTAGCCGTGGCCTCGGGGTCGTCGCGGCTTAGTTCGGGTCCGGAAGGCGGTGATCTGGGTGTGGGCGCTCCTCGAGCCTGCTGGATCTCCGAGAGCGGTGATCCCCGAAGGCTTCGCACCTGCACAAAGGTCGGGTCGGGGTGCTCGACCCGACCCCTCCGACGATCAAGTTAGCGAAAGATGTGGAGGGGGCTTAGGAGGAGGAGTCGTCTTCGTGTGTTGAGTGTGTCTTCCCTTTGTTTAGAGCTTTGGGGTATTTATAGAGGGGTTTAACGTTACCCGACGTGGTTGCCCGCAGGAGCAGGACCGTACCTCTGATGGCGTCTGACACAGTCGTTGGCGTTGCGTGGAGGACCGGATCGCTGCAGGGTATGGGCGGGGGTCGGTCGTTGTCCTGCCTTGCCATGGTCAAGTGTGCGGGGTCGGAAGTCGCTGCTTGACAGCGGGTGTCATCAGCGCGGGTCTAGTCAGCGTTATTGCCTTCCTCATCGGGCAACGCGGTGCCCAGGTGGGCCTGTCCTCATGGCACATCATGTCGTCATTATTTTCCCTATCACTAACTAATTCCTTAACATCCAAGTGTCTTGGCTAGATTAGGTTACCATCTCTATTCTTTAGCTTTCATATATATCTTAATCGGTGAATTGTGGGTTATAATTCTAGCCGACGTCACTTATCTCCCAAATACGTGGCCGACGGTTGGCATCACCGCAGCACAATCGTGGCACTTCCTAATTGGCGCTTGATGGGTCATTGTCGTCTGGAGACCCGAAGGTGGGTCCCTGGACATGTCGACACAAGGTAGGATACAGGAACCTTCCGGTCGGTCGGACACGATAATTAAACATTGCCTCGAGCTCATTATATCGTGTCGTCATGTTATATAAACGATCACCATTCCTCTGTATTATTTATTGATAATTACACGACGACATCTTTCCGAGAGGCGCCCTTTCCGATCCGAGCGCGGCGGCGATCGAAGAGCCCCCGACCCATGCTGGCTTTCTTCCTTATCTCCGTCGGCGCCGTCGCCGTTTTCCTGTCGCTCAAACCGACGGGTCCCGCGGAGGGCCAGGGCGCAGAGGCCGACGGCTTCCCGTCCGTCGGCCTCCAGTTCGATACCTTCGTGCTCTTCCTCGTCGGCGTGGCCATGTTGTTCGTGAGGGTGTGGCTCGCCGACGGCCCCCCCGAACGCCTCGACCGCGTCCGCGCCGTCGCCGTGGCCGCCGCACGGGCCGTCGGCCTTCCCCGCGGAGCACGTCGGGTCAAACCCGACGCGTGAAGTCGCGTCGCCCGGATGTTCCAGCGATACGAACAATGACCCGTTTCCGTGCACCCGCTCGGCTACCCGCTCTGTCGCCCGTAAGGATATGCTCGTGGGTCCCGCCTTCTGGGCCCACCATAAGGTCCCCAATTGTTTCCCGTCTAAAGCGACCACAACGTCACTGTTGGCCAGCAGGTCTACGCGGGACCCACGTCGGTGAAGCAAAACGGTTGGAGAAGCATTTCCCGTTACAGTGTTTACGTCCAATAAAGTCCCCATCTAATGGTGGCGAGTTGTGGGTCCCAGTCCTCCGACACCGACCGCAAACCACTGCGGTTACCTCATTGGGGCCCGCTGCCACGGTCATCAAGAACATGCATTTAGCGCGTTATTGAGAAACTTGTCGTATTTTTATTTTTAGTAATAAAAATAGATTGAACAGGCCGCTTTGTCATATTGTGCCAAAAAGTCAGAATTGTTGACCGCATAAGTTACGCGTCAATTGTGACGTGGCACGTTATGCACCGTGACGTTCGTCTATTATCCATAGCTGCAGCAGCCTGATCACGCCGCCCGGATTGCATCCGGCGCTTGTGGCCACCTTTCGCACCTTCGATCGCCCGCACGGCAGGGACTCGCCTCCTCCGCCGACGGCCGGGCGGTAGAGCCCGTCCGACGGCCCGTCCGGGGGTGGGCGTGGGGACCCCGTGCAAAATGATCTCTCCGGGGCCCACACCTCGAGACATGCTTTTTTGCAACCCTTTCAGCTACTCGTCCACGTATGTCAATTGCGATGGCACCAATTACGAAAGGGGTAGGCAGGTGGGTAAACGGGGAACGGGTAGGAAGTAATCTAAACTTATCCTCGTCGCTACGACTTCATTCCGCACTGATGAATTCGGAGATGATGACTCTTTATCTATGGAGCTGAATACGACCGAATCGGATCAAATCTCGTATGGATTTTAATGTGTGATCTCTAATTTTAACTGAACTCGAGTCAGACACGGGTTCAAATTCGAGTTGATCGGGAGCCTCCGTCGCACGTCGTTGGACCGGAATATATGCCATCACTTGCTAAATGTGAAGAGTTTGGTCCAAATCCTCGCGAGAGTCGAACCCGACCGCTTAATTTTCTTCGACCAACCCTCCCCGTTTACTCGCCTGACTTAAAAAGACTAGACTACCCCTCCGTCCAAGGAACCTTCCGATCTATAGGACTTGCTTGAGGCAGATCGGGGCCGGTAATGGCCGATTCGAGGACTCTAGGGTTCATCTGAGTTCAAGGAGTCGGAGGCGAGACCTCAATCCATGGCGGAATCGACCTCCCAGTCCTCGGACCCGGCGAAGGGGGAGGAGCTCCGGGATCTGGTGCAGCGGTTCATGGCGTCGCTCGCGGAGTTCTCCCGG